GTTCTCCTCAACACCATAAAATAAAAGCACCAACAGAGACCAGGATCAGCATGAGGCAAACCAGAACACTTCGCCAGTTTTATCCACTGCCCTGCCTTCCAAGAGCTCTTTGGACATGACACAGCCATCATATTTTTGTTCCACAAGAAACTAACCCTTGAGTTAAAACAGCTCTCCTCCCCCTTAAATAGTTCTTAAATATCAAAATGGAGGAAATCTACTAGAAATGTTTGTTTTGAAACATGCAAGTTATGTTAAGTTTCTTCACCACAAAGGCAAGCAAAAGGATATAAAGATACTGAAAATGGTAGTTCACAAAAAAAATCTGATCCTGTAATCTACACATTGACAAGCTGTTGGGCTCCATCAGTCCACCAAGCAGTAGATACTTGTCTTAGATTCTTCTACTTGACTGCTTTCATCAGATTAAGCATCTGGGATTTAATTTAACAGTTTCAGCTTTATTAAGCTGTCACAAGAGCAGCCCCGCTTTGATAACAGTAGCTGCTCCAATTATGGCTTGGTTTAGGGTTGACAAGTATAATGATTCATTCGTGGCACATGAGAAGCAATAAAAGGTTGTTTTGCATTACAGCTTTAAAAATGTGGGCACTTTTTTCATTTAATTTGTCACTTAGCTTTTGCTAAGAGGACATTTAAATTGCAGTAAAAGGCAAATGGGGCTTTTAGTTTAAATGTAATCCCCATATTTAAATGATCTGTAATGGCGCAGTGTTCAAGTGGGAACACTATTGTTTCACAGTGGGCCCTGATGGTGACATGTGACATTTGTATTCAGGTCCTGTATTATCCATGTGGCTAAAGGGCTTCCAATTTCATTTCACAGCCAGAAACCTGCAGAAAACACCAATTAACTTGCAGATCCCACTTGCCGACAACACTCAGCCTCTTCCCGATGTCTGGCATCTGGCAGTGCTCAACATTTAATTCCAAAGCAGAGCCTCGCAGCCATCATGATCCCTGGGCTGGTGCACAAAGTCAAATTTTCCTCTACTTTAAGGAAATCTTTTCAGTTTCGTAGAAAACAAACAACTTTTACTTAATTGTTCATGGATGAATACTAATGAATTACTGCTGTAGTAAGATTGCATGATCCATTTTTTCCCCTCTAGACTACAAAGAAGGTTAACTGACCTCTTCTTCAAATCAGAGATCTCAGCTCAACAGGCACCAGTAGATATTTACCGTGCATTTCCATATCCCCTCATTTTCCCAATGCAATTTAATTAAAAAGGCAAACCAAGGGGCTTCAGATAATTAATCATTCTGACATACTGAAGTCTTCAACCATAGTCACCAAGAGTTAAAGATCAGCACATGAAATTTATCTACTGAGACACCATTTAAACAGTAACAACATGAAGAATTCCAACTCCACTCTAAACTCTGGAAAGAAGATTCATGTGTTTCTGTGAGAATTTGGAAGTGTTCACCAGTGCTTCACTGAAGTTGCACCTATACTTCTCATGCTAGAAGAATCTGAGCAAGCCTTACAGCTTTGACCTGTAATCTTGATCTTTCCAATACTCCACCTTTGGAGTTCCACAAGTAGCATTTAGCTCAACCCATTCTTTGATGTACAACTGGGGAATCTGCTGAGCATAATTATTATTTTCTTCCTTCTGATCTAAAGGCTCTAAAAATCAACTAGTTAGTTATGTGTAAGTTTTTTTCTTAACTTGAGGCTTTTGAATCACAAATTGCTTACAGAATTAGGACTTTGTATTAGAAATTGACCAGGTTCATACTTCACATCTAAGTATTCGCAGGTTTTGGGCATGGGTTTTGGTGGGGTTTTTTGTTTGTTTTTTTTTTTTCTTTTTAAATCAGAACCTTCAAACATTCAAACCCAATCTGACTTGTACTGAAGTTAACAATTTACCATAAACTTCAGCAAAAAAAAGATCAGAGCCCAGTGTGTCCTTCCAGTAACCTTGCCAATGCCCAGCGCCAGGCAGGAAGAACCAGTTAAGTTCTAACAAAAGGCTCAAGTGACCCAGTCAAGGAGCAAAGCTGAAGTTATTTAAGTATGCTTAAAAGCCTATGCCAAGATGGAACTGACAAAGTTGTCATATGTCTAGCAGTTGGCAGACAGCATACCAGGACAAGCAAGCCTTTACTGAGCAGAATTTATGTTTACTTACCATTTACATCCTAAAATTCTCTAACTACAATGTTAAATTGCTACCTACCTGTGAAATAAATGGGATCATAGATAAAACTTTTAAAAAACACCTATGTCACTTCCAGATTATGCTCAACAGATAATAACAAAAGTATGCAAAGGCCTGTCTCACTCCTTTTATTGATATTTTAGTTCTCTGACATCCTAGAATATGACAAGACATGAAGCCAACATTATTTTAGAACATAACAACATCACTCGCTTAATCCCAATGTCTGAGTTCTCTCTGCCACTGCTAGCACAGATCATATGTTGCAAGGGCCATCCTGCTCTTCCTTCTGCAGTTTGCTATTCTAACTCTGGTCTCCCTTAAAATCTCCTTCAACCTTTCTACATATACTTTTTTTAGATATGCACATTTCACCTGGAAAAAGCAATGCATTTAATTTGAGTGAAACTCAAGGCGAAATCCTATCAAAAACATTGTAGTAGCTTGTAACTTTCACACAAGGTAGGAGCCAAGCTGGAGAGAGTCATCCAAACAGCAATTTTGAGGGAACTTACTAAGCACCAGTGGAAGGAATCCTACTGGTGTAGGGAAATGGGCAGTTCAGCAACATATATATAAGCTGGAGGTCAAAGAAACAAGTTAAGTTCTACTCTTAGCCTACTGAACACCTGAAGTGATTTAAATATACTTACAAATGAAACCATGGTACATGATCAACATATTTGATACTGTTAGAGGTGGCAGAGCAGTTCAGGACTGAAACAACAGGGTCTGCCTCAAATTGCAAATGCAGCAGCTGAGGTATTGCTGAGGCTGGAGGTTGCACTCAGCTTTTTGGTAGTGGCACCTATAATTCTGGCTAAACAGGTAAACTAATCAATTCAATTAATTTAAAATTGAGAGAGAGATTCCACCTTCAGACAGTTGCTGTCAAGAAAACGACGTTAATATGAAACTGATGAAACAGGAAGGGGAGCCACTAAAACAATTATACAAAATCTTTTATGTTTATTGGCAGCATGGGGTAAGACTGCTACAGGTAACAGATGGAGAACACATTTCTGCCTCTCCCACCACCTACCAGCTCAACCCACATAAGCAATGAAGCATGAGACCCTCCAGTTTTCAGTATGGTGGGATACAATTTTGCTGCATACATGTCCAGCTAAGCATGTGCCCTGTTTGGCAAAAACTGTTACTCCTCAACAAGCCAAGGCATCATAAAAATGACATACTAAAAGGCTGTTACAGTTGAAGACAAGTAGTTATATCTACGTCCTCTGAAAGAGTTTTGCCTGCTCTGATATTAAGGCTTTCCACGACACAAGTCTATTATCACAACTAGATAGCTATTGCTTTATTAGCCTAATGCTTCATGTAGAGTGCACATAACTTACACCAAACAGGTTATAACCACTCCTAGCCCCACCATTCAATATGCAATCAGCCACAGTCATCTTTAACCTTTAACAGTGGAAAACATAAGTTTTGCTTTTGACACGTCCTTTCTAAAGAAAGCATGTTATTCTTGCTTGGATTTAATTTCATTTCACCTGATTTTGGACCTTTAAGATATATCAAGAGCATTATGATCTTCGGCTCTCTGCAGTGTTTACATGATGTCCCATAGGGCATCATCTGTAAGGTATTTTTGTTTGTTTGCTATTTAATATTTATTTATTTCTACGTTCCATGCCACCTAAGTCAGATCAGAATACGTCTCAAGACGGACCCTTTTAAGCTTAGACTCGAAATGTCTTTCCAGATTGAATGTGAGCACAGGTAACTACTCCAAGTTCCGTGAACCATAAGGCAATTCCCTTTAGGCTATGTGTCTTCAGCTTGCTTTGAGAAAGTCTCCAAGACAGCATCCAAAACCTTACTACAGTTAAGATATACACATCAATCCCTTCACTCATACACTCAGTGAATTACCTTTTAGAGAAACAAATTAGATTTACCACTGTGTTTTAAGTAATTCAGGTTGACTTTTATCACTTTTATTTTCTCACTTACGCACCAACTCGTTAGTAGTTTGTTCCAGTACCTTATACCTAGGAAAGCAATGCTTGTGCTTACTTAATATTCTTTCCACTCACCTCCCCATCTTTAAAATATTGGTGACACTTCTGTTCAAGTTGTTTTGAATTCCCTCTTCCTAGCACAAATTCCTATAGATTTTGAGAACTTCTGAAGCAATAGTTCAAAAATGTGTTAGCAAGTTTCTGGAACACTTTAGAGCAAGTATCCTCAGACCTTACCAGTTTAAATATTCCTTTCCCATTTCACCTGTGTGCCTGCCTCTGTTGTACAACTAAGTCAGGTATCCGGTCACAACTGACCTTTCTTGCAAAGCAGTGTTAATTGTTTTAGCTCTCTGTTATTTGATCTTCTTTCCTGCTCAGTAATGAACTTCTACTTTACTTTGTTGCTATCTTCTCATACTCTTAATGAATATTCTCTCTTTGCCTTCTATTTCTCGCTAGTTGTGAATTGATTTCTTCCTTAACCTTTCCAGTTTAGCACTAGTGGCTTATATCCTTACCCTCAGTTGTGTAACTATATTTCCAGTCTTTGCTTTATTCTTTTTAGATCCTCAGGTACTTACAACCTGTTGCAATTGTACTTGTGTCATACCATGCTTCCTCGCCTCCAGCTGCAACTGTCTCATGCTGTAGATCAGAAATTCAATTTCACCCAACCTTAACTGAACAAGCAAAACTGCAGAAAACTCTAACCTGTTTTACCTAGTACCACAATAAAGTTTCTCTCCACCTCAAATATGTAATTGTTTCTCCATTATACACATGAACACTTAAATAATTTTGAAGTCTGCGCATTTACCCAGTTCATCCCAGAGCTGCCTATACTTGTCAGTCATTGTAGTTCCTTGTTGCCTCCAAAGTGACAGACGAGGGTCAGCCATGAACTGTTCTGTTATCAACGTCAACATGCGAGCTCCATTTGAATCTCTCATCTTTAGCATCTCTCGCACCTAGGAAACAAGTCTTTTAAGACAAACTTGAAAAAACAAAGAAAATCACAGTACAGGCAATATGCTGCAGTGTTAAATATTCCACCTCTGTTAAATAAGAAATGTAAATTATATATGTGAAATTTTTAAGTAGAAAGAGTAGTCTACCTGCCCAATTTTAACAATTTTTTGTTTCAGTATCCCATAGCAATTCTTCAAAGACACTTCTTCCACAAATAATTCACAGTTGTATTATGCAAACTGCTACAAGACTAATTTCTACAGGTTCCTCCAACATTCTGGGGATGGGAAGGAATAGAACAGCAAAGCTGCCAACGGCTGAAATGTTACACTGATCAAGACACACCAGACTGCAGTCCATCGGTGTACAACTCATTATTAAGTTGCCATCACATTCCCAAGCCTTTGTCTTGTTTTAGAACAACAGGACTTTGAGTAAGACACAAACAAGTACAGACTGGCTTGGAGTGGGGAGAGAAAAAAGGGAAGGTTTAGAGTACTCCAACACACCTTTGCAAAAAGCAAATTGAGCTGCTTCCCTGATCCATGGTATCCACCCTGGGAGAGGAAGAGTTTAACCTGTTCTTGGACCTGTTCCTCATCCAAATGCCAGCAGTTTTCATCATCTATGCTAGCACCTGCTGTTGGGTCAGGAGCACCTGCAAACAGCAAGAAAAGAAATCATTATGTTCTGTACAAAGAGAGGTTCCTGGGTCCACAGGAGCACACTACTGCAGAGCTTTTTGGATTTGTGTTTTGTCCTGATTTGTATGTCTTGGCTAGAATCAAAATATTCTTTAAAATGGACTTATATTTCTCCTGAGTAGTCTTAAGCACTTAGAAATCATAGCCTGTAAAAAGGTATTTAAATAAATAGTATTTTCTAACAAAACATTAAAATCAAGTTGAGCTTTTCTTCATCCCATCTCAGCAGCTATACTAGAATGCTTTTACAAAGGAAATTAGACTCTGTATAGTATTTCCACAGCTGTGATGTTAAAATCACTCTCGCCAAAACACTTGTGAAATTCAGCAACCTTCAGCAATCTCACCCAGGTTTAAGTGACTGCTAGTGAGCACTGCTATTGATGAACATGAGGAAAATCATCACCTCTCTGCCTCTGAGCTGTGACAGCTCTGCAAAGCTAAACAAAGAGTAAAAAAAAAATCCCCAAACAAATCCAAAGTCTTAAAGCACTAAAGGCATTTCCATCATCAGTAAGAGTTACAGCTGTGTAAGACTATGGAGCTTCCAAAGGAGCATTTTTACATAGGCAACATAATCAGCACAGGGTCAAAACAGAGCAACTCTACTTGAATTAGCCTAGTGTGAACTGAAGTCACTAGATTTATATCAGGCAGGGCTTTGGCCCCAGGTTGCTCTAACTCAAATTTTGAAGTTCAGATCAGTGATTTTCCACCAGTGGCCTCTTCTAAAGGCTGACAAAATAAACTAAAACAAGTTCTTGCACCATTTAGCAATCTATACTTTTCTGAAGAAGCCTGTACCTCCACTGGATATTTTTTAAAATGTAATCAAACTGAAAAGGCTGAAAAGCACTTATCTAGACTGTCAGGGAAACAACTCAAGGTACTGCATCACTACACCACATGTAAGGTACTTTAAGCATGCGCAAGATTCAAGTTAACTTGACATTTTGATTTTGGACTTGTCACAAATGTGTGATCTCTATCTCTGTTAGATTTTGAGAAGATGTTAGAATTGGAATCACATTACACTATCTATCACTTTTAAATCTGAGTCCATATTACCCCTGTACATCCCCCACCCCCCCTCCAAAAAAAGGGATACTAGCAGGAAAGGAAAATCACATAGCCAGATTTGTAAAAAATTGCTTTTTCAAAGAAGTCTTGAGAACTTGAAAAGCAAGTATAGCTACAAGTCTTCAGAGGTATAGGAACTAAACATTGATTCTATCAATTCAAGCCTTCATTTCACAATTGTAGCTCTGCCATGCAGGTGAAGCTTTTGAGCAGTTGCAGGGAATGCTGGAATCTTTACTCAATGAAAATACAACTGGAAGATTTAAAGAGTCAGAGGGATATCCTGTCTACTAGTTGCTCAGAAAGTAAAAAGTATCTTTCAGCTCAGCAACTTCCTAAACTGCCTCCAACTCCAGGGCCTACAGCTGGGCACACTGCACTGCTCTATGTGTGTGTGTGTATATATATAAAACATATACATATATAGATTAATAACAAATTGTGTCTTTGAAGATGTGAATGAACTCTCCTGCCTTCCACAGGAATCATCATAGTGCCTCAGAAGGCAGGAATCAAGTCCAAGACAGTACAAAAACCAAGGAATAAAAAAACCTCCACTTCCATCTTTAGTAGGTTAGTTTTAAGGGACTTTTAATTCAGCCAGCTACACAAAACACATACTGCTAAGTCTTCAATTGCAAAGAATGAGATAAAAAGGGAAATCAAGCCACATGAGAACAAGCAGTGCAGCTGTTACACAGACCCAGGTTTGCAGTATCACTTTGCAAATAGTTTAAATATTTCAGTGCTTTAAAACAGAGAAAAGACCTGTGAAAAGGAACTATATAAAAGCACCAATATACACTTATATTTATCCCTCAATTTAATGGAGATTTATCTTTAAATAATCTTGGTATGGTTACTTTTAAATTGAATTAAAAATAGCCTGAGATTCCTCAGCTAAGCTTTCCTATTTAGGAAAAGAAAACAAAATTCCTTCCGTAACCGTTTACATTTTATCAAAAGCTCATCAGTCAGTTTGTGCTAGAAGGTTAGATTTCAACACAGCTACCGCAGATTCTTTAACAACAGGGTTTCTTTACAGGAATGAGGGCGCCTGCCGCCCCAGGCCAGCAGCACTGCCCCCACCAAAGCCTCTTCTCCCAGCATGATCCCAAACATACCTTCCCCAAGGGCTCAGCATCACTATACTTACACCAGCATTATTTTCATGCCAGTAGGCTAGAAGACTGGAAAAGTTGAAGACACCAAGCCCTACAATGCTGTTCAGCATAGTACTACAGATAGGTCTGACTCGGAGCAATTTTTTTCTTAAAAGATCTTTTACAGGCTACACTCAAAATGTGTACTACAGTACAACCAAAATTTTTAATTGGGATGTGTAAAAAAAAATTTCATCATACATGTAACCAGCACCAGCTACAGTTGTAATTCACCGATCTTTCAACACCATTGGCAGTGTTCTGCAACAGCCATGGACTAACAAGGCATGGAGACAGCATGTCCGATCCGGTATGAGTCCAAACCACTCACTTTCCCACCACAGCAGCAGCCCAGCTTCCTAGTAGTGCGGCTGGGGAAGCCTCAGCTTCCATGGCCTATGGTCACGCTTGTTTTAGTGTCGAGACACAACCACCTCCATGTCTCTGAACCAGGCACTTTTCAAGATCATCACATCCACTTGCAGTCAGGTGAACACTCATTGATCTAGCCTGTTTTCTCTCCCACTCAAACACAGATCACTCTTGAGCAACAGACAGGATTCCTACACTGCCACTTTCTTCTGAAGTCATGGGACCTGATGCGTAGACAAGAAACTATATGGACAAGCAACAGAAGGGAGCTGCCTCAGGAGCTGCGAGATGAAGTCCCAGCAACAGCCATCAAGAAGGCTCAGGCTCAACATTGAGCTGAAGGTTCAGCCCAAAGGTGGTGGCTTTGCTCAGGGTGTGGCATGGCCCTGAACGGGCAGCACGAGGCTTTAGCAGATGGACAGTCTGGCTGCGGGGAGGAACATGGGTAGCCCTGAATTTCATCTCCGCAGCACAGATCGGTACCAAGACCAAAGCCTGCTCCTCACTTTTAAACCAGGGATAAGTAGTATTATGTGCTTTAGAGAGGTGTCATGAGGATAAATTAGTTCACATTAGAACTATGAAAGTGAAAAGCACTGTATAATTATACTAAATATTAGAACCTGTAATTAAACTGTATCAGTTTATAGACACTAACATTAATTTCCCTTCCACAAATCTCTGGCTTTTTTAACTTCTGTTGTGACTGGTCTTTGAAATAGGTTTTATGTCATGTACTTACAGTTAAGTACAATAAATAAAGTATTTATACTCAGTATACAGATACAGCCATACATACTTACTCATGCTCTTTTAGCAAAATTACTAAATTGCAATCTTAGCAATCAAAGCAGGAATATTGTGCGGAATTGTTTGTAATACCGAATATCCAAATAAAATTGAAAACAGGGTAACAGCCTTTAAATATTTATGGTCATAGCAGGTTACATGTTAAATATAATCAACTTCCAAGTTCTAAGCAGCAGAAGCATTTAAAAAAATACACACTTTGATCCTTTAAACAGCAATTCTAAGAGTAACTGCTTTCAAAATGAGCAACCACATTCAAGAACTCGTGTTGTATATGAAGGACGTAACCTCAAAAAGTAAGCAGAAGCAAAGCAAGGGGTATTGACTAAAATAGGCTAAGAATTGCCTATATTTCAAATACTCAGGTGCAGATCAACAGTGAAATTTGGTTAAAACAACAGAAAGCAGTCTTTAAGGCAAACTGCTTCCCTGATCTTTATTTCTCAAGAATCACAAGAGTTATCTTCAAATGAAACCATGCCAAATTACTCACTTATAGCCATACCAAAACTTTTTTGAACTTCATTTTATAAAAATCTTAATTGAGGTATACAAATGACCTGTAGATCAGATAAATTTTATTAAATGTCACCCCACAGCAGCATTAAGGAGAAGCAGATGCGGAAAAATTTTTCCAAATAAAAAACATGATTTACTGAGTACTATGCAAAGATAGAATTGTCCCACCTAGAAATCAATACTGCTGTATGCTGATTCACAACAGAATAGTAATTGATTTTATAAACTTAGTGTTCTCAGAATTATTCTAAACAATAAATATATAAAACCAAAGATTATAAAATTAATGATTCAAGAATATTATCATGCCTTTGATTCCCCAAATGATTCAAAGTTTAGACATAAGTCACTTAATCTTGTACTTAATTTCAGAACTCTTGGGTGGAATACAGCACCTGTTCAGCAGTGAACAGCATCAAACAAAAACAGCAACTGCTGTGAAGCAGCCAGTGCTAACAACAGAAAATATGAAGACAGGACAGGGTACACTAAGTTGCTGAGGTAAGTTAATAAACCCCTAACAAATTTTTAACTTCCAAAAAGTTCTTTCGCTTCTATCTGCACATACAAGAACTTATCTGTTGACGATATCTAACCTCTCCTGCTAAAATCCAGGTCTCAGAAACATTACATAGGAATAAGTTTCGAAGTCTAGCTCTGTGTGGTAGATAAAAGAACTTCCTTATCAGTAGAGATCAGCATGCATTATTTTCATTTATTTTTACCTTCCACATCTATATAACAAGTTTTATTTTGATGTTTAATGTATCCGAAAAAACCTTTCTGAAAAATATTAATGTCATAAATTAGTTTTTCATGTGATCAAGCTTTCATTTTATTTTACATTGTACTAATTTACTGCTACTGGGTTTCTGAAGTTTCTCTAGTTTTGGCTAGTCTTGTTGTTACTTCCTTCCCAAATCTGGTTCACTAAACAATTCTCATACTAAGCATTGGAGCACTTCACTTTCATCCTTCTTGAAAGGAAACTCACCTGCAATTTCCTACTTTCTTCTTTTGCAACTAGTCTCTCAAACAATTTTGCCAGTTTAAGTAGGGTCACATGAAAGATTCCACCATTTTTCTAATAATGTATCTTCTTTAACATTAAATATTCCCTTGTGGTAGATCGGCAATACACTGTATTCCGTTGTTCAGCCCTACTCTATCCCACAATTTTCCCCTAAAATCCCCATCATTTCTGTTAAATACCCTAAATTTGTATTAACACATAATCACCTGTACCTCCAGATTGCCCTTCAGAACTTACAATATACAGGAATAGCACTAGATATTCTGAAGTTTTCTTTCAAAGGGATTTTTTTTGGATACATGTTTCCTTCTTGAATGACTCTGTTGGTAGTCCTAATACACGTTACAGAATAATGTTTGCAGAGGATGTACCTAGATCTGCCTGGACAAATACAGAAACAACTACCTAGGTACCTCTGCTTCTGAGAAGACAAATGTAAACTGCTTTTTCCCAGGTCTTCCCTCTTAAATTGAGTTCATCTGCATGTGGCTTTGTACTGGTGGGTGACTCATTGTGAGCTGGAGAATCAGAGAATGGGAGAAAGTCTGGAGAAATTCATACAGTTCTTCTAAGAGCAGAGATTGCAACAGCAGCACTAAACAGGAAAGAAACAGTACAGCTTAAAAGGAGAAAATGAAATCTGTTTGGAGGTTGTCCTCATACAAATAAAAGGCAAACCCTTTTTCACTATGCACATAACAAATCAATACTAATATGACATTAATACACAAACAGACCTTCACCCTCCATGCCCCAATCCTGCAGTTACTTTCCTATTTCCACTCAAATTCTCAGGCACATAGTTTGACCTTCCAATCAATTTAAGTGAAAGTTTCATACCTAAGAGAAGGCAGATCCAAGATGACAAACCCAGTTGATAATCCATTATCCTGACTGTTTCCTTCATAGTCTAACACACCTGCCAGCTTCCTCTGCTACAATGGTACCAAAATTGAGGAGGAAAAAACCCCTCAGCTAAGCAGGACTGAAATCTACATCCTGCGCCCCGAGTTAGCATCCCAAATTGAAACCCAATGTGAAGCCAACAGTTACGCAGCGCATTGACGTCAGGATATTGGTTTGAATACCTACATTAGTCTTCAGTACAGAAGATCAGACCCCACAGATCTCCAGTTTTGAAACCCTCAGGAACATATACAGTTGTAGCAGCGTCCCACGAGAAAATCAGAACACAACAAATCTTTTCAAATGTAAGAGGTGCTTTTTGTGCTCCAAAAACATGCAAAACCCTCTTGTAATGTAATCACCACCAACTGAAAATTAGCATGGCAGATACAGAAAAGGATTCCCAACAAATCACTCCACCCTCCTGAAGAAATTAGTGAATGGACAACACAGTCCCGCCTTCTAACAGCATCCACTTATTTCTTCCTGCCACGAGGCCCAGTTATGAAGCAAGAAAGGATATTGCATCATTTGTATCCATCGAGGAACTTAAAGGGATCTCTCATTTCAAAATCCGTGTCAGTGTAAGTCGCTTCACTAGTTCCCTCAGCAACCTCCTTCACAAGGAAGGCGGCCAAAGCCAGTCATCGAATGCTGCATAAGACAGAATTTTGAGCAAATGAACCATTATCCAATTCAGCTTTTGTGAAAGGAAAGTACTGCAGAGTTGTTCCATCTCCCCAGCCAGCTCATAAACAAGCCAACAAGACCACTGTGGTCAGAACCCTTCAAAGCCCTGGATCATTCTTACATACAAATAAGTAGTATTCAAGAGCTGATTTCTTTGCCTATGGCTGGAAATATATGAAAACTAGAACTAGTACAGCTATCACGAGAGGAGAGAAAAAAATTTTTTTTTAAATTGAAGTTTTATATAAAACCACCCTAAAATTAAAACACCTCTAGGTTACACTGAAAGGAACTTCGTCATTCAGCTCTAGATTCAGGACCTCCCTTTGATCAAAGCTATTTCTGGCGTTTCTGTGCCAGGTGTCCTCTCACTTTTATAAGCAAGTTGTTGTAAGTTTTTCCTCTTCTTTGCTTGTGCTTTCAAGTAGTGTACAATATAATTCCTCCTCAAACACTAGCTTAGTGAGGTTAAACTGTTCAAAGCAAGACCCATCTACAAGTTTGGTATTACAAACTGAATTATCTGCAGCACAGGAGTTATGACAGAGTGAATGGTGATCTTATGCTCACCAGCCTATGCTATGAGAACCAGAGATAGAATTCTTTTGGTTAACTTTATTATTTTTAATTTAAGGAATTTGATTAAAGATCAAAATAACAGAATTACAGTGTGAATCCCAGAAGAACGCTTACTTGCTACATAATCAGAGAAACTTATTTTTTCCTTACAAGAATGCTGCCATTTAACATTGTAAATATTTTTTTAAAAATCAGACCATGGTTTTATCAGAATCTGAGAGGAAATGCAGGAGATTATAGATCTTCTTTTGTAACCAAGCTTTCTTTGGTAACAATAGTTTATTTTCTTATGCTGCCTGGATTTTCTACTTCAGTTTTTTGGTATTTTGTTAATCCCGATCAATAAAGACATACTGCAATCTCATTTACTAGGAAAACAGCAACAGTTATAGGAAACATTTTAGTTTTGTGGATAACTTTAAACTACCCTACTCAAATTCATTATGAAATTTCGTAATTGATCATCAACTTAGCTTTTTGTTTCCTATTCTTTCTGCTATTTGGGCTGTCATATAAACATCAAATGTCTCTCTAAAAATATTTTAAAAGCTAATGAATAATGAGATATTTTCACAATAAGAAAATTGCTGACAAAGACTAGCATACCTATGATTAGTACAATTAGACTTAACACTGATCAAGTCTAAGCACTCTCTGCAACAGCTTGGCATTTCTCTTACATTAGCCATAGTATAGCTAATACAGCCATCATCTGTCCTTCCTTTCTCACCCCTGCCTTCCCCTTTTCTAATCACTCTTGACTGTTTGAATCTGCTGTGCCACCCTCATACTCACTGTAATTCTTCCTTCCCCTCAGTCCCTTACATTCAGGCTATTGACAACTCTCATGTGATACATGCCTTCAGCTTACATCTGAGCATCTTCCTCTATTGCTTAATGTCCTGCATTTGCTTCAGCTTCCCTTCGTTTGCACCCTCACCAGGCAGCTCTGCCAATCACCTTCTCATTACGTTCCATAACAACTCAGAGCAACTGCCTTGCTTCTGGCCACATCCCCATAGCCCCCAAAGCCAAAAAAGAGCCCTGCTCCTGAAAGTCACCTTCTTGCAGCACCACCTGCCTGGGCCTGCCAAGGTCACCAGACCCTAAGGAGAGGGGTCAGGCTGCAGATGAGCCCTGTTATTGGAAAGACTCCTTTCTTTTGCTCTGCCTGTATCTAACACTATATCTAACACACACGTGGTTTTCTTTCTGTAGCATTAAACAGCTTGGTTATGTTTGCAAGTTCTTTGGAATAGTGGTCGTCCCTCTTAAATATCTAACACAGAAGAATTCTTCCTATCAATGAACAAACAAACAAAAAAAGATTTTTAGATACTTAGATAACTTATTCTTCCCCTCTAACCTGCCCTTAACTCTTACAGCTCTAGTCACCTGAGAGGATGTTTCTGTCAGGTGACTTCAGAGGAACTCAGGACCCTAATAAACCAACTGGGTCACCTCAAACCCACAACTACACACTTT